TCTTTATTATTATTATTATTATTATTATTATTGCTACTATTATTATTGTTGTTACTATTATTGTTGTTTATAATTGTTGTTTATAATTTGTACAATTAACCTCCGTGTGGTTCGACCCCAGTCTTGCTGGGTTATTTTATTACTTTGACACTCCTGCACTTGGGAGAAGACATCAATCTTTTAGTCGTGTCATAGTTCTATAGGTTAATCTATTAGAAATAGCCAGCTATGATATTAAATAAATATGATGTTTTATTCCTTTTATAGGTGACAATCCACTTGGAATTTTGTCAGGAAATATATCTTTAAATTTATGTTATCGAAAAACACAAATATTATGAACATAGGAATTAAGTTCGTCAGTATTAAAATATGTCTCCTTATATAAGAGTAAAATCATAGGCCTATTAAAAAAAAAATAAGCATTTGTAAGATCACTTGGTTTTATAAAAATTATGTTTCCATACTTTTCTTACACATTTTTCTTTTCTCGCCCTTTTTTTCTTCTCTCTAAACTCAGCCTTCCCTTCTTCTTCTTCTTCTTTATTTTTTTGCCAAAGCCTTCAAATTTGTCTTTAATGGATAAAACATTACGCTTTGGTGTTTCACACTCATGACTCAACTTATTTTCACTCAGCCTCACATCCTCACCATTATTTTATAATAAGACATGTTCGACTTCTGCTGCTTTCTTCAACTTCAACTGATCTTCATACACTTTTCTAAATAACAATGGTTTAAGCATGCATGTTTTTCCATCCTTTTCTAATGTATATCTATTTTAAAAATCATCATGCTTAACTTTACTATCAAATTACCAAGGTCTCCCTTTAACTTCACATAAAAACTTATCCTTATATCTCCTTATTGAGAATGAGATTAAAACCTACATGGTCACTCTAACTCATTCACATTTATTCAACCATTGAAACTTATATGGTATAACAAGATTATTTGTACTCATATTCAAATTTGTAACCAAAGTTATGCTAGCAATATTAGTACAACTAACATTATTCATAATCATATTACATACTTTATTTTTTGATGTGACATATAATATAAAAGATATTCTCTCTTTGTTGCTCAACATTTTCTTCATTAACTTAAACATTAAAAAATCTCCTTATAACTAAGAGTTAGTCATTAACAACATATTTAACATTACTAACATCTTTAAGTGCTGACATACTTTCACATTTAGATTCATCACTAGCTAACTCAACTTCTTCATCATCACTTAAAATTATACTTCTTTTATTTGGATACACTGATGTATAATGCCGAAGTCTTTAACTACCAAAACACTAAATCATTCACTTATGCTTCAACTGAACATTATTTCTTCCTTTTTGCTCTATTATCAAGACCTTCTTTTTAACGTACAAGAGTTTGACAACTTTCAGTATTGTTATTAGCTTTGATTGTGCATTACTCTCTCTTTCTCTCTCTTGAAATTCAACCTGCAACCCTAAAAGGATCCTAAATAACCATCTAGTGTTGCTTTACCTTTTTCTTTTAAACTATTTTCCTACCTTTATAACCATATGCATTATATCTTTAATTTATAAATAATGCTGCAATTTAACCACATTAATAATATCTTGATGTAAACCATTTAAAATCTAGCTATTATGGCTTCTTTATCTTTAGAAACATTACCTCTAATCATATTTATTT